CCAGATCGGGTTCCTCACCAGGAACCCAGAGGGTTCGAGCTGGGTTCCTCCCGAGGAACCCAGATCGGGTTCCTCACAAGGAACCCAGAGCTCCTGTTCTAAATTTTTTTATTTATTATTTATTTTTTTATTTAAATAAGCCACATCATAAAAAAAAAAAGCATCCACGTTGGATTACTGACTGCACATAGTGGCCACATCGATTTTTTAGTGCCACGTAGTATATTTTGTAATGGTACCGTGATAGCGCGTTAAAATGTTGGGTCTTTTATGGGTTTTGAAAAGTTAAGGATGTGAATAGAAAGGAAAAATTCTGGAAGGTGTTGACCGTGGAAAAGAAATAAATGAAGGGTGCAAATAGGGCTTTGGCCAACTCTAGCTCCAAAGTATTTACCTCAGGAAAACAAGGACAAATATTTTCAAATAATGTTTGAATTTATCGCCTGTGTATTCCACAAACAAAAAGTTTTAGGGAAGAAAAAAAAAACTCTTGAACTATGCCTGAGAAGAAATTTCTGTCAAATAACATAGGGTTTTTATAATTTGTAGTTGCATTAATTATATTTTTTTATTATTAATTTTCACAAAAAAATTATAAAAATAAAATTTATTTTTAATATCAATATTGTGTGAAACAATTAATAAAAATTAAGTCGATTTTTATTTTTAAATAAAAATTATTAATAAAAATTAAAAATATATAATAAATACATTATTAATATGTGCTTAAACATATAGGTTAAAAAATTTCAGTAACATATTATTTGCAAAAAAAATTTATAGTGTTCCAAACCAACCCTCCTACCTACTGGCAAACATCTGTAAAAACCTTAGCTCAGAACAAGCAGAACATGTGAGTGTCATGTGTCACACAATGTGGAAGAGAAAAGCGTCCGTTTTGGCTTTTAGGAGAAACTATCTACTAAAGAAATTGAAGCAAGACCAAGTGACCAACACTCTCAGAAAAGCCACATGTGAATAACTGCTTCTATGTGTGTCTGTATGTCCAAGGACTCATGAATCTCATTAGTTACTTACTGTTTTTCTTTGAAATTTTTCTGACTTAATATTCGTATAATATTCCTTTTAATACACATTCTAGTTGGGTAATATTAATAAAAAAAAAATATTATACAATTCAATTTGTTTTGAACTATATTATATTATTGAGAAATTTTTTTATTTAATAATTTTTATTTTATAATTTAATATATTTTATATTGTAAAATTTTAAAAGTTTTTCTCCTTATTTCAACCAACACAATTTTAAAACCACTTGATTTTTACAAGGACTGAATTTAAAGGACAAGACACACGAGGCTTGTGCTGCTTCCATCTTCATTTTCCACCAGCTAATACCGATCACAGTTCAAGGCTTTAAGCTTCCCTAATTAATGATTAATGCCATGTCTCGAAAGAAAAGAATCAATTACCCTTTCAAACTTACACCGAGGACAATTGGTGAATGCATCCAAAGGACAGTTAAGGTGTGCATTAAATGTAGGGACCATCAAATAATAAACACAACCCACGGCCTTTGACTTCCTTTTAAATTCGAAATTAAAGCAAAGGTGTCATAGCAATCGCTGTCTCGTCAGTAGCAACCAATCAATGTATTTTTTTTTTTTACAAATTTACAATTGGGATGGAAGGACCGAAGGAGTCAAATCTTTAACTCTTGGCTGAGGAATACGTCTTTTCAAATCGATCTATAACCATTAGGGCACAAGGCCCAGTACAGGTACCGATTAGTGTATCCTGATTCAAACTTCTATTTCTTTGGTTGAGGGATGCATTTTTTAAAGTCGGTTTATAACTATTAGGGCACAAGGCCCAAATGCTGACCAATGTATCCCGTTTGAACGAAAAGCAGGTGAAAAAATTTGTAACCCAAAAAAAATATAAAACTAAAAGACATTGCAATGGAGGACTAGGATTTTATTAGATTTTAGATTTTTTTAATTAAAACTTAAATTGAATCAATTTTAAATATTTTGAATTTTAGTTGTTACTTTTAAAAGTTGAAACATTGATGATTAAGATAAGCATAATTAAAAGTTTTAGAACAAAAACCTTTTCATATAAAATTTTTAAAGGTTTTGTAATCTTTCAACAAATTATTTATTTAGTTAGATAATTTTTAATTTTTAATAATTGAAATTAATAAAATAATTAAAAAAATTTTAAAAATTATTATTAAAAATTAAAAATAATTTTTCAGTTAAAATTAAAATTGATCCAAATAATTATTCTTAAAATATTAGCTAAAATTGATAAAATTTATTTTAATTGATTTAATTAATAATTATTAAAATTCAATAACCAAAATTTCAATTAACTGATAATTCAATTTCAATAAAACCAAAATCAAACAGTGCCAACCCTAATTCCCACTACTTAATGGCTAGCCGAGTCCAATTTCATCTTCTCTTACCTTTTAGATTGTCTTTTAATATTAGGTTAAACCCCCATTTTGATCCCTCAACTATGGCATGGACTCCCAATTTAGTCCCTCAACTCAAAAAATCCTTGATTTGGTTTCTATTGTTTACCATTTTAACCTCAATTTGGTCTCTCCATAAAAAATCTGCTTACATGTCTCGTTAGTTGACGAAAAATGATGACATGTAAAAATATTTTGACATGTAAAAATATTTTGACATGCAAGATTGACAGTATGACATAGAAAGCTTGACATGTAATTTTTAGTAAAAATTAAAATATTTAAAATTAATTGTAAAACTAAATTTACTTTTTTACCCTCATCTTCAACCACACATCAATTTCTTTCCATTTTCCTTTCGTTACCCCTTCATTTTCATCTCTAGCATTCATCTTCTTCCCCTAGATCCTTGTTTGTTGGCCTTAAGGGCTTTGGGTTTTGATTGATGCCTATTGGGTTTGATCAATGAACCCAGCAAGAACCCAACGGTGCGATGCTTGTTGGGTTTGATCGATGAACGATTGAACCTAGCAGGAACCTAGCGACGTCGTTGGGTTCGATCAATGAACCCAGCAGGTGCTGCTGTGTTCATGCTGGGTTCATCTATCGAACCCAACAGGCACTATTGGGTTCGATTGAAGAACCCCTGATGGGTTTGATTGATGTACCCTTGCTGGGTTTGACTAAAGAATGCTAGGTTTAATTGAAGAACTGTTGTTGGGTTTGATTGAAGATACCTTGATTTTTTTGGATTTTTTGGAAGGCTAAGAGGGCAGTGACTATTTTGGAAAGATTCTGGGTTTATGTTTGTGTTATACTTGGATTTGATGTTAGAAAGTGTCTAGGTTTGTAAAAGGTGAAAGGAAAGGAAGAGGAAGAAGAAGCGATTGCTGGGTTCAATCGACCCAATAGCTATTGGGTTCGAAAGAACCTAGTTGTGCTGGGTTCCTTTTGGGTTCCTTTGAACCTAGCTTTCAAATCCAACAAAAGAAAGAAATTGGAAGGGAAAATGTTTAGATCTGGTGTTGGGTGAGGGATAGAGAGAGAAAAAAAATGAAAGGATGAAATTGCATGTTTCATTGGGGGCAATTGCAGGTTTCATCTTTAGGGTTTGTAGAAAGTAAGGAAGAAGAAAGAGAAAGAGGAAAGAAGAAAGAGAAAGAGGAAAGAAGAGAATTTTTTAAGTATTTTTTTTGCCATGCTGTCTTTTTGCATGTATTTATATGTTGACATGTCATTGTGCTTCTACTAGTTAACAAGACACATAAGCACATTTTTAACAAAGGGATTAAATCGGGGTCAAAATGGTAAACAATAGAAATCAAATCAGGAATTTAGAGTTGAGGGATTAAACCAGGATCCATATAATAGTTAAGGGACCAAAATAGGGGTTTAACCTTAATATTATATACTACCTAATTGCCTTTCTATATACACCCACCAAGCTAAAGAGTCCAATTTGTATTGTGAACGTACCACTGGCAATGTTGTTATAATCTTGTACCGAGTTGTCTATTAATTTTGCCATTAAAATGGTACATATTAATTATCGAAAAATATTATATATCATTTTAGATTTGTTACTATAAATTTTTTTTATATAAATTAAATAAAACTTCTCCAATAATATCTAATGTACATAAAAAATTGAACATAAGCTAAAAAAGTTAAATCAAGAAATAAAAAATAACATTATTGTTTAAAACAACTAAATTCATTAAATTTTAAAATTAAGGGATAAACATGTAAATGGAAAATGTTCTATTACAAAATTTTAAAAAGGATTTTAACATATGTGTTAAGGGTATAGGTTAAAGGTATTTTTTGTCATAAATATATATAAAAAGTATAAAAATTGACATTAATTTTAGTGTTGGTGCTAAGTAAACAAATTTAATAGGACGGTTATTAAACTAAAAATCAATTTTTACATTTTTAATATAAATTTATGATAAAAAAAGTATATTTGTCATCACACACATTAAAAAAATATTTTTAAAAATAAAAAGATTTTATTAGAATTAACCAAATAAAAAAGTGTAATATACTTCAAATCATATTGAACTGTACTATATTAATTATTTGATGGAAAATGACTTTTTTGATGGTATGACCTCCCTCTCCAATGATCTTATTTTACAATTCAAAGTAGTTTGAATTATAAACAGGTTCTTTAATCAAAAGATAAAACTCTAACATGATTAGATTCACAAAGGTATGAATTATCCTCAAATTTGGTGTTTTCTCTTTTTATATATATATATATAAATTTTATGTTTGCTTGCTTAGAAAGCATGGGAAAGTGGATTGTGGAAGCAATTCTTTATTTCCCTTTTTTTTTCTTCAATTTTTCCTCTGTGTGCCTATGTTTCCCAGACGTTTAGATTTGAAGAACACCGGCCGAAATTTGACATACCAACCGGTACGCTAAAATTCGACCGATATGCATATTTTTAACCTGTACTACTGAGAAATAAAGCGGTATGGTATTTGTCTAAACCGTCTCGGATTAGTGCCAAAATCGGTAGGCACAAAGATCCACAACTTTGACTACCGGGCAGCCGAATTGCAGAAATCACACAATATCTTTCAAGATTGCTCTTTAATCATTCTCCAACAATCTTCGTACTCAATTGAAAACATGGCTGGAGTTTCCCTGCTCCCAGCAGAGCTTTTGCTTGCAAAACGTGTCCAAGATATGGTCATCAATGGGGAAGAACCAACTTCTCTTTTTATGTCTAGGAACGACACCAAAGAAGCTCAAGACATTCCATCTCATCTTTCTCCGATTCCCATCATTGACCTCAGTTCCTTCTCGTCATCAACATCAACCAGCGAAGAAGAATTGCAGAAACTAAAATCAGCACTTTGCTCATGGGGTTGCTTCCAGGTTTGTGACCTAAACTCAATGAAGAAATACAGGAAAAAGTGATTTTCATTTTTGATGTTGACTAAAGTGAAACTTTCTTTATAATCCTGCCTATAAGTAAAAGACTATTGGGATGACTAGCAAAATTTCACAACCCCCACCACTGATATCTAATTTCTTCCCTTAATTAGGTCTCCAATGCTATATTTGATGACTCAGCAAATGATTACATGGACAACTTAAAATTCAAAGTGCTTTCCTTTCAATTTTTCACTCTCTTTCTTAAATGCGTTTAGTAGAGACTGTACAACAAATAAACTTGAAACAGTCCACGAGGACATTCTAAAAGATGATAGTAATTGGAGGATCTAAGTATATATTTCCCCACTACTTGGTTATAATTATTTGTTTCAGAAAGTCTATTTGTTTAATGCAACATTCTAAAATTATCTGATATTTCAACCAAGCCTATTTGGGATTTTCAGGCTATTGGACATGGGATTCCATGTGCAATTCTAGACAAAATTCGCAGTGTCGCAAAGGAATTCTTTGAACAACCAATGGAAGAAAAGAAAAAATGGTCAAAAAGTGCTAATCCTGAAATGGAAGGATATGGTGGCGACCCTGCACCCGAACAAGGTCAATCCCTTAACTGGCAAGATCGCTTATTCCTTAGTGTGTACCCAGAAGATATGAGGATGTACAAATACTGGCCTGAAAATCCCAAATCATTCAGGTGATTTCATTCCGTCCATTTTGTCCATCAGTTGAAACCAATAGTTACCTGCACAATTGCCATGTATTTATAATGAGTCCACTGTTTTGCGTTTCATTTCCTGCTCATTGCAGCTTCATTTCATCAACATTTGCAGCTTAGCTTGCTGCACATTTTTGCTGTCATTTTACAGTTTCATTTCCATCATATTTGCAGCTAAATTGCTGCCATATTTGCTGTCAAATTGCAGCTTCATTTGCTGTCAATTTTCAGCCTCATTGCTGCCATTTCATGGCAGTTTCATTTTATCATTTTGCAGGTTTGAATGCCACATTTCTAATAATATTTCCAACACAAAACAATCTGAAATTGTAAATTGCTTTCCGATTTATAATATCAAATAAGTTAAAATTTACATAATCATATTTACATAATTCTGCAGAGAAGTTTTAGAAGACTACACAATTAAGATGAAAATGGTGACAGAGAATGTCTCCAAAGCCATGGCACAATCATTGCAATTAGAAGAAAATTGCTTTCAGAATCAGCTTGGTGAAAGAGCTACTTTGAGTGCAAGGTTCAACTACTACTCACGTTGTCATAAACCCCAACTTGTTTGGGGCTTAAGACCTCACGCAGATGGATCGGCATTCACCATTATTTTGCAAGATGATGTTGAAGGCTTACAAGTTCTCAAAGAAGAGCAATGGTTTACAGTACCGACAATATCCAATGCTCTTCTGATCATCTTGGGTGATCAAATGGAGGTATGATGTTACTCTCTTATAATCTTAAGGTTATACCAAAAAAAAAAAAAAAGCTCTTGGAGAGATCCTCAAAGTTCTGAAGTGTTTCATTCAGAGATATTTTCTTGCAGTTATGTATGACCCTGATATGATTTTCAAGCACTCATTTGACACCAAACACAATATAACTGTAGTATCAACCAAGACAACAACCTTTCTATTAAGCTTATTTATTTATTTATTTATTTTTGTTTAAATCAGTTTGCAGCTGCCTTGTTGATGTTTAATTAGGTTGCTTTTTTCAGTTAAGAAGTTAAAAGTCCTTGCTAAACACTAAATGCATTCATACTCCATAGTTAGCACTATAATAACTTATCAAAAAAGTGTTTTATAATCCAAATTATAAATCACTATCCCTTTGATCAGGGGAGGGTCTCCTGATATTGGAGGCCCTCCCCCCATCTAAGGATTCCTATTTTACAGTTTGGAATAGTTTGGACTGTAAAACAGTACACTCATAACTTATTTGAGTAGAAGGTTTCAATAGAGAAAACAGAATCATTTACTTTAAAAAAACGTATAGCATTAAGACAGTAAGCTATATGCAATAGGTTGGAGAGAAAGAACAAATTTTATAACATTCATTGTTTAAACAATATGTACATACATAATCATGTTTCATAATTCACCTCTATGGTTCCAACAGATAATGACAAATGGAATGTTCAAGAGTGCAGTGCATAGAGTGGTGACTAACTCAGAGAGGGACAGGATTTCAGTTGCTGTTTTCTATTATCCAGAAAAAGGAAAAGAGATTGGACCAGAAGAAGGCTTGATTAATGAGGAAAGACCGAGGTTATTCAAGAACCTGACAGATTATGGCGACGTACATTTTCAACACTACCAACGAGGGATGAGAGCACTTCATCTAGCAAAAGTTTAAATGCAAACCGGCTTTCTCTCTATATTTACCTTGAGTTGTTTTATCATGCTAGATACTTAGTAAACTTATGCTACTTGACAGGTCATGTTTCCCATAATACCTATATTTAAGTGTCTAATTGGGAGTTTTGGCAAGACAAGGAAGAATTAAGGGGTTGGGGATGAGGAAGGCCTTCAGGCCTCTAGCCAAATTGGGAGTTTGAGCATGTGTAACTCTCTTTCCCACCCCTTTTTTCTCACAAGTTGAACCATTTGCTCTTTTTTGTCAAAAGAAAAAAAAAGGGGGTTGGGGCTGGAATCTGCATTTTTGTTTTTGGATTGCAATAATGAGAGATGGGACCTTCCTTGTATTCCTTTTAATGTTCATGTTGTAAAATTAAACACTAGTACTGTAATTAATCTATAAAGAAAATCATATTTCGGCTACAATTTCTAACAGATACAAACATACTCTATAATAAAATTTTAGGGCGTTTCACAGCATCAATGTCAAACTCAACTTAGCTGCATCTTTCGGTTTTAAAATCTGTTCCATGAATCCTAGGTTAGAAATATTCCATAAACTAAAGCTTCAAAGTATCTCATACATCACGATCCCAATTACAAATATATTCAAATAAAGTTAGCATTTATCTCCTATGTATTCCATAAGCTAAAAGTTTTAAGAAAAAAGAACAAATCTTGAACTATGCCCACAAAAAATTCTAATCAAATAGCATGTTAATTGCTGCCAAAGAAATTTGCTTTCTTTAAACCAACACTCTTATCTTGTCTACTTGGCCCAATATCTATAAAACCTGGGTTTAACACACAACAAAGGGAAGAATAAAATTTCAGTTTACTCAGCAAATCCATCTTATCTAATTCTAAAACCACTCGATTTTTACAAGGACTAAATTCCAAGGAACACAGAAGATAGGATTCTCATATTGCATCCATCTTTATCAATCATTTTCCTCTAGATAATGCTAATTAAAGTTCCAGAGGCAGTTTGGATTAATTTTTTTTAGTATAGATAGTTAATAATTGATATTTGGTGACTAATAATTATTATTATTTATAATTTAAAATATTTAACTCATTTTGGGTAAAATTAACAACTAATAATCGTATCCAAAACGCCAAAACAAACATCCACTCCACTCCTCCTCTAGATAATACCAATGTGTCAAACGAAAAGATACATATTCCCCTTCGAAACTGACACCAAGAAAAATTGAATGCATACAAAGCAAAGTTGAAATATGCATTATATTTGGGGACCATCAAATAGCAAACGTGACCCGTAGCCAATGACTTCATTTAGAATCTGACATTGAAGCAAAGGTGTCATAGCAATCGCTTTCGGGTAAATAGCAACCAATCCACATATCTTCCCACTAGTAAGTGGTTAGCCTAGTTAGAGTTCCAATTTCATCTTCTGTTTTAGATTCTCTATTGCCATTATATACTGCTAAATTGCCTTTCTACGCCCAACCATAAAGTGAAAGAGTCCATATATGCTAATGTGTGCCGTGGACTTACCATTGGCCACTTGAAATCACACAATATATCTTTGAAGATTGCTTCTTAATCATTCAACAAAAGTCCTTGTACTCAAACCGAAAACATGGCTGGAGTTTCTTCCTTTCTCCCAGCAGAGCTTTTGCTCGCAAAACGTGTCCAAGATATGGTCATCAATGGTGAAGAACCAGCTTCCCTTCATATGTCTAGGGACACCAATGAAGCTCAAAACGTTCCATCTCATCTATCTATGATTCCCATCATTGATCTCAATTTCATCTCATCATCAACGACAAGTAGTGGAGAAGAAGAACTGCGTAAACTCAAATCAGCACTCTGCTCATGGGGTTGCTTTCAGGTCCGAATTCTCAACTCAGTGAAACAAAGAGAGACTAATGATAAATTTTCTAGGGTTGCAATATTATTTATCCTGATTATAAAAGAAATTTTGGGTTCTAGTTCATTCTCTCCTCACTCATTAGGATCAAAGACTAATGATCAAATTTCATAACCTAATTCTTTACTGAGGATTCTAAGGTTAACAAATACACAAACACAAGGCATCCATCATATAGTCTCTAAAATTTAACTTTCTTCTAAATTTTCCCTTTTCTTTCTTAAATTTGTTAAGTATTAGTGGACAATTAAACTTGAAACAATCTGCAACAAGATTCGACAACGTGGTAGAATTAGATGGATCTTAGTATTATCCATACTCCTATGTTGAATAAGTTAATACTCATGTGCCTAACATGGCATCTAAAACACTTCCACTACTCAAACGAAGCTTATTTTTCTATTTCAGGCTACTGGTCATGGAATTCCTATTGCACTTCTAAACAAAGTTCGTACAGTTGCTAGAGAATTCTTTGAACAACCTATGGAAGAGAAGAAAAAGTACTCCAAAAGAGTTGATGAAATGCAAGGTTATGGGGGTGACCCTACCCCTGAACAAGGTCAGTTCCTTGATTGGCAAGATCGCCTGTTTCTTGATGTATATCCTGAAGATCTAAAGAAGCCAACATTTTGGCCACAAAATCCCAAATCATTCAGGTAATTTCCCTCTACCCATTTTGTCTATAAGTTGAAACAAATAGTTATTGGGAAAACCAAAAAAATTATTGTACTTCCTCCAGACTAGTGTTTGCTTTATCATTTCAAGATTCCCAAGCATAGCTCGGTAAGAAATCACAAAGTTGCATATGCATGCTCCTTACAGACAATCAAAACTGAAAACCTTACTTATATCTACGTCATGTGGGTATTATTATTACATTTATATTTTACTACTTCAAAGGTTGATAAATAATGTTAAATTCGGACAAAACAATTTGGACAAATCGATTATATGTAACTCATATCACAGTTATAACCTACAGCAAGGAAAGTTACTTATACTTGATCATGTGGGTATCATTGTAAACTATAGGAAGATAACTAGCCGGCGCTGTTGAGTTAAATAGGTTCTTCAATAGTTTCAATGTATTGCTCTATTCAAAATATGACATTAGCTTTTCTTTATTTAAACTATCTGTACAAATATCATTGTCACAAATTTATAAACTTGCAGAGAAGTTTTAGAAGAATACACAATAAAGATCAAAATGGTGACAGAGATGGTCTCTAAAGCCATAGCAAAATCATTGCAATTAGAAGAAAACTGCTTTCAGAATCAACTTGGTGAAGGAGCAATTTTGAATGCAAGGTTCAACTACTACTCACGCTGTCAAAGGCCTGAAGTTGTTCTTGGCTTAAAACCTCATGCAGATGGATCAGCATACACCATCATCTTACAAGATGATGTTGAAGGCCTACAAGTCCTTAAGGGCGAGCAATGGTTTACGGTACCCACTATATCCGATGCTCTCTTGGTCCTCATGGGTGATCAAATGGAGGTATGATGTTCATTTGTTGTATCTAAAGGTCATATAAAAATACTAGAGGGGAGTACTGAATAATGTTAGAGATTTGATATGAGAACCACTCCTTCATAGTGAAATTTGACTCACTTCTCTAGTAGCTTTGGGAGGTTCCAGGCTTTTCAATGGGAATTCAGCATCGGGATTCAACTCTTGCATCAAATCTCTGTCAACAACTTGCAAACAAATCCTAATAATTTCATTTAGATCATGTTAATATTCCTGCAGTTATGTATCCGATTATAGCAAGATTTTGAAGCACTCAGTTGACATTCCTAGATTAAGAAGATTCTGGAACCAACCTAGACAACAACCTCACATAAAAAAATTCGTTCTTGAGTCCACTTATATCATTAGATCATCAAATCAACTACTTCGTGTCCTGCAGAGATTTAAGTTATTTGTTTTTCAGTGAGGAAGTTAAGGTCCTAGCCTAGAATCACATTCTTGCATATTACAAAGTTAGCACTGTTAACTTAGTTGAGTTGTCAGGGGAAAAAAAATCCTTAGTTGAATTGTGGGTTTGTTAGTGGAGAAAAATAGACAATCTTCTACTTAAAGAGAAACTTTTAGCATTAATAAGATTAGCTGCATGCCCAAGTTTGCAAAATGAGAGAGAGTGCATTTTTTATATCATTTAATCAAATTTTCATATGTAAAAACATTATCATCTTTTGTAATTCACCTGAATGTTGATAGCAGATAATGTCGAATGGAATATTCAAGAGTCCGGTGCATAGAGTACTGACTAACTCAGAAAGGGGTAGAATTTCTATTGCCATGTTCTATTCTCCGGAGAAAAACAAAGAGATTGGGCCCGAAGAAGGCTTGGTTAATGAGGAAAGACCGAGATTATTTAAGAAGATTACAGATTATGCGGACGTACATTGGGAATACTACCAGAAAGGGCAGAGAGCACTTCATGTGGCAAAAGTTTGAATGCATCTCTTTTTAGTTTGCATGAAGAGATGCCTTTGATTTAATCATGGTAGGTAGTATGTATAATATATTTATGCAACTTGATAGATACTGTTGGCTTCAATATATATGTTTGAGTCTGTGTATGGTGTGTTTATTGAGAAAGGGCATCGCTGTCGGCCAGTTGGGTGTCCGTTTGTTTCTAAGATTGTGACAATGGATGAAAACTCTCAAATTGAATCCCCGCACTTTCACTCTTCACACCCCCAAGCTCTCTTGATGTAGGTAATTTCAAATAAAAATCATCTTATCTTTTGTTTTGTGATGATTGCCTTTTTTTTTACCTAGCTCACATAGTGTAGCTAGTGGAAATTTGATGTGATGTGTTTGGAATATAAAAAGATGGATTTTTATTATTGAATCCTTTTATCTCATTTAAATTGAACATGATTTAGTTTGAATCTTTTTAACCATTTTAAGTTGAACATGAGTTACTATTATTTGATTAGTGATTATCATTATTTTAATGTCTTTAATTTAAACTATTCAAAGACCTTTACTTGGGTTATAATAGGGTATAGGTTAATGCTTAAAAAAAGAAATGATTGTTAGCAGCTCAAAAAGTTTTTCCCAAATCTTGCCCCCAATTGCATACCTTTGCCAAAGGTCAAGCAACAAAAGAACGTGCAAATGGGAAAATTTCAGCAACTAATTTTGGTATTAAACCTTTCCAAAGATATATTTAAATATCATATGACATTGTAAATTTACAATTTTAATTTGTTATTATATGATTTACTTTTTATTTAAAAGTTTATTTATAATATTATATATATATATTTATTTAATAATACATAATAATTGTAAACTTACAATTTTATATAATGTGTAAGTTTACCACCATTGAAGTAATTTAAAAAGAAAAAGGAAACTACATAAATTTCTCCAGGAGGGATATAAAAGAAATACGATGTTACCGCATCTTACAAGAAAAAAAGAAAATTCTAATATTCCTTTTGTCCTAAAATATTCTGAATTGATTTAGTTATTTCACCTTATAAATAATAGCGGTCTAATTCAGTTATTTTAATTTTAATTTTAATAAAATATTAAATGTTGATATTTCAATGTTATCATTATCTTATAATTAGATAGAAATGTATTAAGATTTTTTTCTTAAATTACAAATAAGTGTAAAAATGAAATGATAAGTTTTAATTATTATAATAATAAAAATTTAGTAATTTTATAAAAAAATAAATTTAGGGGTAAATTTATATTTTTCTTTATATTATATTACCTTAGGAAAGATAAGGATGTCCCATAGAAAAACAAGATAGGAATGAAGAGAGATTTGTCATATGATAGAAAAAAAATTAAAATTAGGCCATAAAGATAAATTTAAAATAATATATTTTTTATTTCATAGAAATAATAAAAATTTAATTTTAAACCAATTTTTAATTAAAAAATTATTATTATTACTATTGCACGGAGTAAACAATTGTCTGAGAATGACTGCGCTGTGACTGGGCGCACTCACTCTTAACTACAAATAGAAAACCGTTTGGAATATAATATCACCGAGACTGTGTATAACCCAAGTGGTTGGAAAGTAAGGATCCCCATGGGGGCGGGGACCCCTTCCCATCTCCATCCCCGTCAATGGCGGGTACGGGGATTCTCGCGGGAATTTTTGGCGGAGGGTTAAAAATTGCCTTCGTTCCCATCCCCGTAGGGAATAATAGTTCCCCGCGGGGAATAATAGGTCCCTGCGGGTATTTGGAGTCCCCGCCATGGTGAGAGGTTGGCTGAAACGACCCAGCAGCAGCCTTGGAGCTCAGCTGGAGGTGAGCGGTGAGTTGTTGGGCAGCAAGGGCCAAGGGCTGCGGTGAGTTGCAGGGTGAGAGGTGAGAGCTGAAAGGAAGCTGGAAGCACCGATTCACACTTCATAGTGGGCTGTGGAGATGAGGCCAGAGTTTGAGCATGAGTGAAGAGTGTGGTAGAGGATTAAAGGAGAGGAAAGTCTTGGAGCTCAACTGGAGGTGAGCGGTGAGTTGCAGGGCAGCAAAGGCCAAGGGCTGCGGTGAGTTGCAGGGTGAGAGGTGAGAGCTGAAGGGAAGTCGGAAGCACTGATTCACACTTCACAGTGGGCTGTGGAGATGAGGGCAGAGTTTGAGCATGAGTGAAGAGTGTGGCAGAGGATTAGAGGAGATGAAAGTCGACTGAAAGGCGAGAAAGGAATGGGAAATCCCTAATTCAGAATTTGCAAGAAGCGGCAAGCAAAAAAGGGACTAAAAGTAAAATGTCTTTCTGCTAGGCAGCTAAGGTTATATGTAAATTGGGCTGTAAATTGTGAATTTGGGCAATTAAGTTTAGGAAATAGGAATATTAGATTCACAAAAAAAATTGGGTTGGGCAGAGAAGTGAGAATTGGGTTTGGAAAATTTGAAAAAAGAATGGATTGTGAAATTTAAGTTATATTGGTATTGGGTTAACTAATTAGGTTGGGTAAATAAAAATTAATTGTTAATATATGTACAAAAATATATATATAAATAAATTTATATATATTTTTTATTTTATATGGATCTCCACGGTTGTCCACGGAGTGGAGAAAATTCCCCGTGAAATTTCATGGGTAAAAAATTACCTTCATCCCCACCTCACGAGTAGGAATATTCTGAGAATTTCCATCCCCGTGGCGGGGATCTTCGTGAAACTCCGCGGGTCGCGGAGAAAATTGCCATCCTTATTGGAAAGTGGTAAAGAATTGACCTGCACTCCCGAGCTAGAAAGATTCGAATCTTGGTAATCTTATCCTTGTTTTAAGGGTTTAGGGAATGCTTGGTTTACGTGGAAAAATCCATTAGAAACAACGTATTTTAAAATACCTTCATTTTTCGTCTTGAGAAAAGAATGTTGACGTGCCAAAATGGATGGAGTCGCTATCTATCAAAATGAGGTGGGATAGATCACCAAGGTCTACGTAAAAATTGACTAGGTTCGGAGGATCGGTTAAGCATGGAGAAGGTGTTAGGCACCCCACAACTTCCATATAAATATGGTTACCACATACTTTAATTTTGGGGAATTCCAATTTTTTGTGAAAATAATAATAATTACCAAGAACATGAAACAAAAAAAAGAAAAAAAGAAAAACAAGAAATAAAAAAACTTCAAAAACCCCCCATCGTTGTCCTA